TGTGTGTGTACACTATCCACTTACAGGCTGCCAGAGTCCCGGTGTTCACTCGTAGCTCTAGCCGGACTAACTAGCAGCATTTGGGGCATTGGGGCTCATTATATTTTACATGGACAATACCCAACTCTGCTTGGCTAGATGACACCAGTGGCATTACTAAAATAGCATGGCAGGGGACGGTGCTCTCATAAGAGCACAGCCATCCATTTCAGCTAATCAGATTCGATTTTGATGAAGTAGGGGATTATTTATACAAATATAATTAACAATAAGACAGGCCTGAGACTCTGACCTCTGAAAATCAATACAGTACGAGACAAATACAGTATTTGTTAACTACAAAACACTGAATTTAGCGCACTAGGTGTTCAGTGCTGTAAAGTCTTTATCACTGAGCCATTATTTCACCAGACCAGCCAATAAAATGTCTCGAAAAATATGCTCTTCCCTTTTAACGAGGTCTCCCCTGTCAGGAGAGTGCAGACAGAGCACTGGAACAAGTAAATGCTAACTGATGGGTAACGTAGCAACAGCATTCTTCTCCAACAAAAGGGTGTCAGCACAGCTGGTATGCATGCTGAAGATACCACAACACAGACCAACACAAAGCACAGCGCACTAAACCTCTGTGTGCAGACACTACTTTATGACACGACTGCACAGCAGCCAAAATGGTGAATTAACTTCATTCTTAGAAGCCTGATTAAAAATGTACTCAAGTGTAAGCTAGAATTTGCTGTGTGATTTTTTGTGTTAATGAAATAACAGATAAAAAATAGGAGTATTTCTAACATTTTGTCTTTATTACTCTCTCTCTCCCATAAACAAAGTCAAATATGACTTATGTGAAGAGGGAGAGAAGGGATTTAAACAGATTCTTAACCTTACCTAGTTAAAAACTTCTGTATTTCAAGTATTCATTAATTGCAGTGGAAAACCGTGTGTTTATTGTTAAAACTGATTTTTATATGTTTTAAATCTGGTAAACTAAGAAGAAAAGCAAAAGTTCTTTCATTCAAAATTTGGTGCCATATCGCCCTCATGTGGTTTATAGTATGAAATGCTATAGTTCTCTAGTAGCTTCCACAAACAAACCAACAGGAACAAAAGGCAAATTGACCTCCAAATCTTCAGTGAGCCAGAAGAGACACATCTAGACATACTTTGAAGACAAAGAGTGTTTCTGTTTGTGTGTGGTGCAAAGCAAGTTCTCTACTTGTGCATCGTGACCCAAAAATAATAAATGCAATTAGCCACATCATTTTGCACAGTTAGGGCAGTAAAATGAACTGAGTTTTAAAAGGGAAGAGAAAATACTCCCTAATACTCACTAACATCAAAGTCTATGTGTCCAATTAAACTTTTCAATATTCTAGCACAAATTTATCTGTCACTTGGTAATGTGGTTCATAAAAATTTTTTGGCCATATATTTGTTCCATGTGTTAGGCTGGGGGGG